CTGTAATGATAATAAAGGATAATTGATATGATTAATAATGGCATAAAAACTAAAACATAATGATGATGATTAATATTCGATTAATTGATTGAAAAACTGTAATAATGATAACGATAATAATGATAAAAAATATCCATAAGGATAATATTTATGACAATAATAGTAATGATAGTAATAATAATAATAACAATAATGATAATAATAATAAAAATTAATAATAATGATAATGATATTAATGATAACAATATCATTATCATCATACTTACCATTACCAATTTTGTTATTGTTATCATTATCAATATCATTATTAACATAATACCTACCACTACCATTATTACTATTATCACCAAACAAAAAATAATATCAATAATATGATACTACGAAAACGTTATTTCTCGCAAAGACTGAACCGAGAGGAAAGATTTAAATAATAAAATATAAAGATAAATTCCTAGAAACCAATTAATATGTAAAACCTTACCTGTGCTCCAAGGTATTGCTGTAAAATAGAGAAAACATGTGAAATGATGTCTTGACATAGTATTCCATCGTTATATTATCATATACTCATCATTTATGTGTCAGTGTGAAAAGAATAGTCACGCTGTTAAAAAGTGGAGTGACTATTTTTACTGTATATTAGTATTCCGCCGTGATGTGATAATAAATGATTAATATTTTCTGATTGAGAGAGAGAGAGAGAGAGAGAGAGAGAGAGAGAGAGAGAGAGAGAGAGAGAGAGAGAGAGAGAGAGAGAGAGAGAGAGAGAGAGAGAGAGAGAGATATATATATATATATATATATATATATATATATATATATATATATATATATAGAGAGAGAGAGAGAGAGAGAGAGAGAGAGAGAGAGAGAGAGAGAGAGAGAGAGAGAGAGAGAGAGAGAGAGAGAGAGAGAGATAGATAGTTAGATGAGAAGATAGAGAAATGAACGGATAAACTAGACAGACAAACATATAGACCAGAAAGTGCACTGAAAGTCATCAGTCGGTAGATATAAATGCCACTCTGATTCCATAATGAAAGCCATGTGATATAATGCAGTAGTGTGTGCAAGTGAAGTGGTTATAAAAGTACAAATATAAGTGCTGAAAAATACAAGTGCAGTGAGGAGTGCTTGTGTGGCTCTGTGCTGAAAGGACAATAACAAATATATTAAAAATACAACTAAAATGAAAATAATAGTGCAAGTGAAGTGATATTAAAATACAAATAAAAGTGCTAAAAAGTACATGTGCAATGAGGAGTGCTTGTTTGGCTTTGTGCTGAAAAGACAAAAATAAATAAAAGATAAACAGTAAAATATAGAATAATGAAATTTAGCTTGATATTCATACAAGATTCAGCAAAATAAGTTAATATCGCAAGCTTCTATTCTATAAACTTTTTTCAAAGGGTAATTCTTATCATTTCTATTCATCTATCATCAATTCCATTTTTTTTATGTTTTAGATTAATGTATTCAGGAATGATCAGTAATTTGATAATTTCAAAATCCTTGTTTCCTTACAATGTACTTGTAATGATCTACATTTGACATTTACTGAATAGCAGGTATGTAGGCTGCATTACTACACACTTCTTTCTAGTATTGTGATAATTCCGTGTGTATGTATACATATATACATATGCATACACACACACATATATATACATATGTGTGTATATATACATACATACATACATACATACACACATGTGTGTGTGTGTGTGTATATATATATATATATATATATATATATATATATATATATATATATATATATATATATACATATATGTGTGTGTGTGTGTGTGTGTGTATGTGTATGTGTATGTTATGTGTATGTGTATGTGTATGTGTATGTGTATGTGTTGTGTGTGTGTGTGTGTGTGTGTTTGTGTGTTTGTTTATGCACACACACATACACACTAATATATATATATGTGTATGTGTGTGTATACATGCATATATTAATGTATGTATGTGTATATATTTTTTTTCACTGCTTATTTTCTCACTGTCATTATCAACGCAGTATCCGAGCAATATACATAAATTTGTATATATTTTTTTCTTTTTTTCTTTCTTTCATCCTGTGCCTCTCAACCCCGCCTCGCCCTGGACATGAATGGCGCGCATGCAAAGGGAACAGAGCCTGCAAATTCATTCATAAATTCGGGAGGTGTGACGTGCAGGGGGCCGGGCTTAGCCTAGCCTCGCTCCCACTTACCTTTCCGCTATTTCCCTGAGGAGACAAGAGGAGGGTTAGTATGGGTTCGGGAGCGTGGGTGGGAGGTTAGTCGTTTGTTATAGGAGTGGATGGAGGGATAGATAGGTGGGGACTAATAGATGGGTAGATAGATAGGTAAAATTTACAAAATTAACAGCGCAAGGACATCGCAGCAACATGCACATACACTCACGAGACACCACAGCGTTTACTGTGGTATCTCGTATGCTTGTAAGTTACATTATTATCATCATTATTATTGTTTATTATTATCATTCATTATTACTATCATATTATCATATTTATTATTATTATTATATTATCATTATCATTATCATTATTATTATTATTATTATTATTATTATTATATTATCATTATTATTTATCATTATCATTATTATTATATTATTATTATTTATTATTACATATTATTATTATTATTATTATATTATATTATTTATTATTATTGATCATCTATCATATTATTATTATTATTATTACTATTATTATTATTATGTAAGACACTGAAAATTTCGAGAAATATACCACTAAAAGTGTCAGTGCATGTAAAAACTCAACTAAGAAAGAAAGAGATAGAAGATCATCAGCTATTTACGTAGTAAAAACATTTAGCTGAAGTCTCTCTCTCTCTCTCTCTCTCTCTCTCTCTCTCTCTCTCTCTCTCTCTCTCTCTCTCTCTCTCTCTCTCTCTCTCTCTCTCTCTCTCTCTCTCTCTCTCTCTCTCTCTCTCTCTCTCTATCTCTCTATCCCTCTTCTCTCTGTTTCTCTTTCCTTCTCCCTCCCCACACACTCTCTCTATATATCTTTCTCTCATAAAATGGGTATAAGCAAAAAAAGCTGAAATGCGATTCGTATTGCTGTGGATGCCAAAGAAAAGAAGGAAAGGCATTCCATCTCCTTTTTTTTCTCTGTTCTTTCCCTGAGATCCAAGGCAAGAGCAGCACTAAATAGCTTCTTGTAACAGGCGATTCGTTTGCGTCAATGAGTGTTCTTAGTTGAAAAAAAGTTCCTAATTGTTTATCATGGGAAATTAACTCGAGCTCAGCACAGTCCTTCTTGTTCTTTTTTCATCTTGAGTAGTATCTAATTCTAAGATATATATCTAGAGGAAGAGCTAAATTTAAACACCCAGTCGACTTTTTAGCGTCAATAACTAGAAGTCAATGAGTGTTCTTAGTTGAAAAAAAGTTCCTAATTGTTATCATGGGAAGTTAACTCGAGTTCAGCACAGCCCTTCTTGTTCTTTTTTCATCTTGAGTAGTATCTAATTCTAAGATATATATCTAGAGGAAGAGGTAAATTTAAACACTCAGGCATTAATAAATTCATTATCCTCGAAAGCAAAAAAAATAATAATAATAATAATAAATGATACAAATTGAACTCCCAAAATCTGTTCCTCACGGCCCCAGGCCCTCCCCAGATCCCTCTCTTTAACCCCTTAAGCCCCTTAACGCTCTGCAAGGGCCAGCTGTCCCCCGCGACCGACTGACCTGGCGTTTGGAGGGCGACCCGATGAACTCGGCGGAGGAGGAGGAGGAGGCGGGGCGGGGGCGGCGCCCATCGCGACCGGGTAGAGGCTGGGCAGCTGTCGCAGCAACGCCTGGAGACGCAGCAGGTCGTCGGTTCTCAGCTCAGGCACGGGATCTGCGGGAGAAAGGGCAGGCTGGAGGCGCTCCGGGCGGAAGGGGGGGGGGGAAGCCAGGGATACGGACACAGACACACTCGTGCGCTAATACACGCACATACGCACATATATGTACATACACATACACACGTACATCCATATAATTCCTGACTGGCGACTATTTGGGACTTCTATTTTTCTTTCTATTATTCTTTTTCTCTCTTTAGCGACTTTTATCTTCTTATCCTCGTCCATTTTCTTCCCTTCTCTCTAAGAGCAGCTCCGTCCTCTAGGTCACCGTGTATCTCCTAGCATACGAGCTGCTCTTTAAAATGTATCGTTTTAATCCCGAGATTTTATCACCTTCAGATTTTCAGCGAAAAGGAAAGGGACAGTCGCGTTTCTTTTAGAATTTCTTGGTTCTATTTCAGATTTCATGGTTGACTTTTCATAATGTTTGGCCCGTTTTGCATTATGCTGCAGGACGAGCAAAATTCAAAACTCATCTCACGTTGCATCGATTATATTCCAATATAACAAGCACTAAAAATAGATCAATGATAAATAAATAAAATAGATAAATAAAACAAGAGAATGGAAAAACATGAGAAAAGAAGAAGAGAGAAGAGGAGGAGGCAGAAGAGTATATTGATTAGACAAATGACAAGGCGAAAGAAGAGGTGGTGGATGAGGGGGAAGAAGAAAAAGAAGGAGGTGGAGAGAGAGCAGAAGAAAGAGAGAAGAAAAAAGAATGAAAAGAAGAAAAATGAAAGTAAAAAAAGAAAAAGTATTAGCAGTAAAAAAGAAAATGAAGAAGCAGAGGAAGAGAAAGAAAAAGGATTTTTTTTTGCTCTCACAGTGAGAAATGGATGAATGAGATGCGAATGAAGAAATATAGACAGAAAATAGGCGAGAATAGTGGAAGTAATCGGTTGAAAGAGAATAAAGTTATTGGTGTAACTATTAGAGAAAGAGAGATGGGGGAGAGTGGAGACAGAAGAGAAAGAGAGAAAAAGAAATGGAGGAGAATAGAGATAGAAGAGAAAGAGAGATGGAGGAGAATAGAGATAGAGGAGAATAGAGATAGAAGAGAAAGAGAGATGGAGGAGAATAGAGATAGAGAGAAAGAGAGATGGAGGAGAATAGAGATAGAAGAGAAAGAGAGATGGAGAGAATAGAGATAGAAGAGATGGAGGAGAAAAGAGATAGAAGAGAAAGAGAGAAAAAGAGATGGAGGAGAATAGAGACAGAAGAGAAAAAAAGATGGAGGAGAATAGAGATAGAAGAGAAAGAGAGAAAAAGAGATGGAGGAGAATAGAGATAGAAGAGAAAGAGAGATGGAGGAGAATAGAGATAGAAGAGAAGGAGAGAAAAAGAGATGGAGGAGAATAGAGATAAAAGAGAAAGAGAGATGGATGAGAACAGAGATACAGAGAAAAGAGAAAAAAGAGATGGAGGAGAATAGAGACAGAAGAGAAAGAGAGAAAAAGAGATGGAGGAGAATAGAGATAGAAGAGAAAGAGAGAAAAAGAGATGGAGGAGAATAGAGATAGAAGAGAAAGAGAGATGGAAGAGAGTGGAGAACACATAGATAAGCGTGTATGAATGTGTTCGTTTGGCCTTTGCATACTTACCATGATTATGTAACGTGACGACACTGGATTATGAATATGATAAAAAGAATATGCTGTCGGAAACAAGGATGAATAATAATAATAATAATAATAAACGAAAAACGAGATAGAACAACGAGGATGAATTTGAATATGGATTTTTTTTATTAATAAAAACAAACGAAAAACGAGACATAACAACGAATATGAATATGGAAAAAAATAATTAATAAAAAAACGAAAAACGAGACAGAACAACGAATATGAATATGGAAAAAAATGATTAATAAAAAAAAAATGAAAAACGAGACAGAACAACGAATCTGAATATGGAAAAAATGATAATAAAAAAAACGAAAAACGAGACAGAACAACAAGGATGAATATGAATATGAAAAAAATATAAATTAATAAAAAAAAACGAGACAGAACAAAAAGGATGAATATGAATATGGAAAAATTATGAGTTAATAATAAAAAAAACGAAAAACGAGACAGAACAACGAAGATGAATATGAATATGGAAAAAACAATAATTAATAGAAAAAAACGAAAAACGAGACAGAACAACGAGGATGAATAAGAATATGGAAAAAATATGAATTAAAAAAAAAAAAAAAAACGAAAAACGAGACAGAACAACAAAGATGAATATGAATATGGAAAAAAAATCAGAAAAAAAATAACAAATAATCCGAGCAAACGAATCATGATAACCATGCACACAGCAAAACAAAGAAAATAATATTTGAAAAGGCTGTTGGAAGAGAACGTCATGATAATAGGTAATGATAATGATAATAAATAATAATGATAATAGATAATAAATGATAGTAATGATAGATAATAAATGAAAATAGTATTAGATAATAATAAATTATGATAATAGATGATAAATGATAATAATAATAGATAATAAAGGATAATAGATAATAAATGATAATAGATAATAATAGATAATAAATGATAATAGATAATAAATAATAAAATGATAGATGATAAATACTAATAATAATAGATAATAAATAATAATGATAATAGATGATAAATAATAATAATAATAATAATAATAATGATAGATAATAATAAATAATAATAATAATAGATAATAAATAATAATAACAATAGATCATAGATAATAATAATAATGGATAATAAATAATAATAATAAATAATAAATAATAAAATAAAAATGATGATAATATATAACAAATAATAACAATAGATAATGAATAATGATAATGATAAATAATAATAATAATAGCAATAAGTAATAATAAATAATAATAAAAGATAATAAATTTCAATCTCAAAAGTGATCAAAATAATTATAGTGGTTCGACAATCAGACGGTGACTGTGGTAAGAAGAACAATCATGATAATAAAGTAGCAATATAACTGTTGTGTATAATGGCCGAATAACAGTAATCATAAGAACATTAGCAATGGGTGTTGTTAAATATAAGTTGTAGTACGAGTATATATAAGAGCATTCAAGGTGAATTAACTTCGGGTAACTATGATTAGTAATAATAATAGTGATAATTTTAATGATGATAATGGTAGTAATAGTAATGATGATAATTATCATTATCATAATAATGATAATGATAATGATAATGATTATAGCAATAGCAATAAAAGTGCTAATGATAATAACGGCAATAATAATGAGAGTAATCATAATATTAATAATCATATAATGATAAAACAGTGATAATAATAAGAATAACATTAATGATAAGAATAAGAACAGTAATCATAAAAGCAATAATAATAATAATGGTAATAATGATGATAAGAATGATAACAGTAATGATGATGATTATGATAATCATAGTATCAATAATGATGATAATAATGATGATAATCACAATGATAACAATGATAATGATGATAATAATGATAATAACAATAATGATAATAAAAATAATATTAATCACAACAGCAAAAATAAGAATGATTGCAATACTGATGATAATGATGATGATGATGATGTGATGATTATAATAAGGATAATAAAGATAATAACAGTAATGATCATGATAACAATAATAGCAATAGTAATTACGATTCTAATATTAATGATAATAACAATAGTAATGATGATGGTAATAACAATGATAATAATAGTAATGATAATTATATTATATGATAATAATGATAGTAATAGTAATGATAATGATATCAATAATGATGATAATGATCATAATAGTAATAATGATAATAACAATAATGATAATAATACAAAGAAGAAGAATAGATACTGTTGTCTTATTTTAACAAATATCAACTCAACTCAAACTCTACGGACCCGTTACGCCAAATCAATGTGACGAGAGCGAGCGCGCCTCAACTCAAACTCTACGGACCCGTTACGCCACATTTCACTAACATTAGAACACACCACAGAACACTGTTATGTAAACACAAAGGCAAAGGTAGATCAACTTAGGTAGTAAACAATGTAAACAACCACCATGTACTATTACAATGAACAACACTGAGTTAGCGAGGTAAATCACTTACTAACCTTTATTAAATAAACTTACTAACTTAACTTATTAGAACGAGCATTTGAAACTCCTTACCTCATCGACTTCTAAATTACTTGAATATGAAATTTATAACGGTATGGTACATGTTAGTGTGATGCTTCCAGTTTTTACATGATCAGCACTAATAAAAAATATTATTCATTGCATTAGCAGTTAAGTATTACGAACTAAACGAATGTAAACTTTTCGATATAACAAAACAACGCAAGATCATTCTACGAAGAGGTTCTGTCGTGGATTTGAGAAAAAAATAATCTTATATGCATAGATATGGTAACATTCAAGCAAAATGTTACATAATATTTGTTCAAGAAAAATGAAAAAGAATGATTTCAAAACAACACTATAGGAAATGTAAGGCCAGTATAATTATTTTCTTTCGAAATAATTAATGTCAACAGTACAACTTTATTCTATCTGGTAAACATTATGCTGTATTTCAGGTCAGTCGGCACAACATCACTTTATATAATAAAGATTAATTATGTAACCTTTGCGCATCAGTGCTTAGTAGATTCTTTATTTATAAAGGATGCCTTCTCTCTCTCTCTCTCTCTCTCTCTCTCTCTCTCTCTCTCTCTCTCTCTCTCTCTCTCTCTCTCTCTCTCTCTCTCTCTCTCTCTCTCTTTTAGGATTCCATGATAATCTAAAGCCCACATAGATGTTCCAGAATGGCCTGAGAAAGAAAGAGATACCAATTCAGGCTTGTACAGAAAATTTACGTATGCATACACAAAAAATACATAATTGGACTACAGAAGTGCTTATAATTGTTCACCGTTTTGGTATGAAAAGTTTGATTAACTGTGTTTAAGGTTCGTCTGAGTTCATGAAACAAGATATAATGA